GTTTTAGGTTTAGGGCTTTAGGGTTGTAGGGTATAGGGTTTAGGGTGTTTAGAGTTTAGGGTGTTTAGAGTTTAGGGGTTAGAGTTTAGGGCTAAGGGTTTAGGGTTTAGGGTTCAGGGTTTAAGGGTTTCGGGTGTAGGGGTTTCAGGGTTTAGGGGGCTTGTAAGGTTGAGGGGTTTTATCAGGACTTTCGGCTTAAGGTTTCAGGGTCGACCTGGGGCTTTCGTCCTTACGGATCTTTCGGTTTTGGTGTAACCGCCCAGATAGTGGAAGGACAAACGGGCGGATAGGCATTCATAGTATAAGGTTGACATAGCGTGTACCAGCATGTAACTTAACTGAGGGGAACGAGGTACTCAACAGTGTGGCCCCCTGCAGTTGTGCCCGTTAGTGCAAGACTACCTGGTGCTGATGCTTCGTTGAACTAGCCACCCTCGGCCACCCTCGGTCGGTGGAGGCCCGGGAAGGTTCAACTGCTGAAAATAGTCACATACCTATCTCTATCTATCCAACTCTATCTATCTATCTTTCTGTCTGTCTGTCTGCCTGTCTGTCTGTCTGTCTGTCTGTCTGTCTGTCTGTCTGTCTGAACTACTGCATTCCTGAACTATCCAGAGCCTTGTTTCTCCAAGCACCGGGCGACCCAACAATTACAACTGACGAACATACTAAAAACCATAACGGTTCGACTCTAGACATCGCAGAATGCCGTCTTGAATCAGACTGACCATCCTCCCATGTGATGGGTTAGTCGTGGCAGTGTCGAAACTGCAGCGCCCATATCTTCAGCCCTTGCTGCCGGAAAGCCAATTCCACTGGACTTTCACAGCCGCGTGTGCGGCTTGATTATTGAGGCCATATACCCTAAACCCTAAACCCTAGAACCCAAAACCCTAAACCGTGTGGGCCATATAGGGCTGAAGGCTGCTATCTGTTGATATTAAGCTGCCTTCTCTTGAGGCTCAACTTCGTGGATGGAGGGCCAGGGTTCAGGGCATTGTGGTTCATGGCAGGCGTTTCAGGGCACTTGTCATAAGTTTCAGGGTTTCGGTGGTCGACCTCGCTTTGGCATATCAACTTAGGGCTTCAGGCCCTTCACGTATAAGTATAGTAGTGGTATGAGTGAAGTAACTGCAACTATACGTCCTTACAGCACTGATTACGGTCCTTCTAAGCACGGTCTGCACGGTCTTTAGCCACGTAGCGCAAGGCGTAACGTCATAACTGGGAATGGAAGTCTGCGCGTGTTAGTCGAAGATTACAGCTTACGTCTCGTTTGGAACTTGAACATTCCTTAAAGACGAAATGAACTTTAAAAGGTTTTCAGGTTCATATATTATATAGGGATTCATAGTATAAGGGTATAAGGCCCCTAATTATAAGGGTCATTTGGTCCCCAAGGTTCGTTCGTTCCTTCAGCGGCGCCTGGCCCACAATCACCCGCAGAAGTGCCGCTACGCCGGCAGCGGGTCGCATGTGTCCTAGGACATGGCCAGAACAGAAAGCTTCCCAGAGACTCCAAAACCCCTTAATTAAGGAATGTACCTTAAATCTTACTAGGGTTCCTATCATAATTTGAGGTATATTCCTTAGTTANNGGGTTTTGGAGTCTCTGGGAAGCTTCCTAGCCAGCTTTCAGGTTTCATTGCAAAGGTAGGCTTCCACGGTCTCTTGTAGAACGGGACAATCCGGGATCATTGATTCGGCTTGCAACGTTCCGAAATTGGGCTACCCCAACGCAACTTGCTTGTACACCATAAAAGATCTCTACTTGCCCCGACAGATGTTACATCCCCCATGTAATGAGCCCACAACGAGGCTAAACACTGGGATTGAACATTCTTGGGGTTTAACCGGTTTAGGGTTTCGTTCTGGCTCCTATGCCGATTGCGAACTCCTTGTACTTCATTCATTGTACTTCCCTTGAAAACCACTTGAAACACTTGTGTGGAACCCTCAAGAAGCCTATGAAGAACCCCAGCAAAAATCCTTAGACAAAATCCTTAGCAAGCCTCTGAAGGATTTACAAACAACCCATTCAACCACATCATGGAATCCTGAAAGGCCACCTGACGCAAGTCCCCGCAAGCCGACCAGCTTGGTCTGCACAGCCCGAAGGCTTTTAAGACACTCATTTAATACTAGGGACGAGTCAGGGGACACTGTTTTTGCCCTGTACCAACTCTTTTCGATTCAATCCCCTCCCCTAAACCCTAAACCCCGAACAAAAAAATGCCGCTGCCGGGGCGCCGTAGTTGCTTTTGCCCGAGAGCAGCCCCAGGATTTCCTCCTCTTCGTTGTCCTCAAAACCGGCTTTGGGGTGCCCAAGCCTAATATGGGAGCTTCCGAAAGTAAGGGGGGGGGGGGGGGGGGGTAGGATTCCTTTAAAGGGTTCCTATCAGGGATCAAAAAGGGTACAAGAGGGGCTTAGGGTTTAGGGTTGAGGGAGATTACGAAAATGAGGGGTACCTTATTTTGGGGTCCTTATATTCAGGATCCTACTATTTAGGGTACTATATTAGGGTCCCCTATTTTCGGAAACTCCCATATAGAGGCCTTAAGAACTAGAATAGGCTTTTGGGGCCCATGATACTAAAACTAGAATAAGGAACCACCAAAATAGTATAGGTAATTATTTAGGCCCCTACATTATAGGATTCGGTGCTACGGTTCATAGGAGTCCCATCGGTTTTCCTTGCAGGGTCCCCTTCCGGGTCCCGTTACGGGTGGAATCAAGGGTTCTTGCTATGAAGGCTTAGGAAACCCTAACCCCTAAATTCTAAACCCTAAACCCCTAAACCCTAACCCCTAAACTCTAAACCCTAAACCCTAAACCCTAGTGGGGTTTCGGGCAGTCGGCCACTTCGGGTATCGTTTGCACGGGTTCTACGCAGGAGTCCTCGAGAGGCTCTTTGGTTATGGGCTTTGAAGGTTCCTCTTTAAAGGGATTCCATAAGGGTTTAGGGTTTACGGTTTACATAGGGGTTTAGGGTTTAGGGTTTAGGGTTTAACAAGGATGTGGATCTAGAGTTTGGGGTAGTAGGTTGCTGGGTTATGGGTACAACGGCTTCTTGGGCTCGATAAGGCTTACAAAGGATGACTACAGGGCTTTGAACCTATCGTTGGTAAGGAGGTTCCGGGCCCCAAGAGCTTTAAAGGGTTTGAGGATCTAGAGTTTGGGGTTTAGGGCTTAGGGTTTAGAGTAGTAGGTTACTGGGTTATGGGTACAACGGCTTCTTGGGCTGGGCCTACAGCTTTTATAGGGTTTGAGGTTATAGGGTTTGAGGAACAATAGACACTACACAGTGGGCAGCGGGGCTTTTGGAAGGCGCTGATTGGAGTCTTGAGGATGTCTTACAACCCTAACCCCCCCAAACCCTAAACCCTAAACCCGAAACCCTAAACCCTAAACCCCAAACCCTAAACCCTAAACCCTAAACCGGAGGATGTCTTATGCTCCTCTTACAGGAAACGTCTTTGGGAGAACTTGGGGGGGCTCTCTGAAGGTTTGCAGTGGGGTGTAAAGCTATATAAGAACCTACCAAAACCTACTTTTTTGTAGGGTCCCCATAGATTCCATATTAGGGTTCATAATAAGAACCTACAACAAGGTAGGTTTGGGTAGGTTGAGGTACGGTTTAGGGGTTCGGGCCGTTTTTTTGGGTTTAGGATTGGTTTGGCTGAAGCGTCTGGTGAGGTCCTATTAATATTATAAAGACTCCTTTACAATTTCAGAGGATCGTGGGGTCTCCAGCCTCGGCAGCTTGCTTGAGTTCCTTAGATTTAGGGATATTTTGCGGATTTTTGGTGTGGCTAGTTCTACGGGTTTGTCCTTTTGTGCTGGCTTGGCTTGGCGCTTCGCCATGCTGTTTGAGGGCAGAGCTGCGAGTTCGGAATTTCCAGGGTTTCTGTTAAGGTCTTACAGTGTCCGGGATTTCCCATGAGTTTGTGTTGTGAGGCATCTTACGGGTTTCGTAGCTTTCGTGCCTTGACCCCTTAACCCACAACTTGCAAGCACGGCGTACGATTGGGATTTAGCCTCTGCGGTGCAGGAAAAGCAGAGCTCCTGCCATGTATCCCCGACAAGCCCAAAATCCCTAACCTCTGAATCTCTCAACATCATCTCAACCCTAAGCCCCAAACCTTAGACCACCCCAGACCCCGTAACAGGGCACCTCGGTGGTAGCTAGAGATCGGTAGGCACGGACGAGGGCTGTGGCCTCGTCCAAAGGGTTCGAGTTGTCATGACTTTAGTGCTTGCAAAGCCCCAGGAGCTCGATTACCCTTTTAGGTTTTTTCGGGAGCTCATTGGGTTTTTCACGCGTTCTGTAAACTATGTGGTGGGTTGCTGGGCTGTATTGGCGGGAAACTCCTTTCAGGACAGTAAACCGCTTTGTAGGTAAGTGGAGTGCTAGCGGAGGGTTTTCTTCCAATCTGGGGTCCCTACTTGGAGGTTCTTCTTTTCCACCGCCTTCGGGTTCACCATTTTTCGCATGACATGTTCAAGGCCTGCCGGTTAGGGTTTTCGAGCGTATTAAATTTGGCTTGAGGGGAACTGAGGGCCTCGGCTGTACAAATTAAGGGGTTTAGGGTTTAGGGTTTAGGGTTTAGGGTTTAGGGCATGATCCCCTGCCGCGTAAAGCGCAGCAGAAGCTCGAGGGTAGCTTTGTCTCACTCATCAGTGACACGAGGCTGCAAAGCTAGACCTTAAACCGTAAACCCAAAACCTGAAATCAACGCTAAACCCTAGATAGACCCAAAGTCCAAAGCCCTAAACCCTGGAGGATTCACAGTTTGGAGCGCCGGGGCGGCTAGCTCAAAAGAAGCTGAAAAGAGGTGTTGCTACAGGCCTTTCTATGGTCGATACCCTAAACCCTAAGCCCCCAAAGCCCGAAACCCGGGGCTCCAGGGCTTTGGCTGAGGGCTTTGATGGGCACTTCTTACAGTGTAACTTTGCGGGGACGAGGCGGGGATGTTACTATTACCAACTCTTCCAACCATAGTACATAAACTTCCTCTTGGCTGATATATATGTCCTGTGCCTGGAGGCATGCGAGTCCTACTATCATGAACTGCTTCATAGTCCCACGATCCTTCAAGTAGGTGTGGCAGATATGACGCTTCGAATCAAGCAAGTTTGGGGCTCATGCATTGAAAGTTCGAGGCCTTATTTATTAGGTGTAGTAGGCCTTGGTGGTACATTCTACTAATCTTGCAAGTAATTCAAAGTAGCTGTACTATTGTCATAGTATGGAACCCACTCTTAATTCGGAAGTGCGTTGCCATTGGCTTACCTGCTAAAAAAAGCCTTTAGAAACACTCCCCCCCATGTGTGATTCTCGGGCGTGTGTTGACACCCCTCATCACGCGTTAAGCGCAACTCACCCTAAACCCTAAACCCTAAACCCCAATACAGAAAGCCGACCCGAAGCCCTAAACCAAGACCTTAAAGCCTGCATTTTTGAACATCAAGAAAGCCCCCAAGCAGTCCTCTATCAAATCCTTGCCGTTTTTTGCTAAACCCTAAACCCCTAAACCCCTAAACCCCTAAACCCTAAACCCTTAACCCTAAACCCTAAACCCTAAACCCTAAACCCGGGGGGGGGGTTTGGGAGGGTCTTGGGGCTTCAGGGTTTCGGGACTTGGGGCTCTTGGGGCTTTTGGGATAAGGTCCTGTTCTTAAGGGGTTTAGGGTTTAGGGAATGACTTAGGAATTATATCATTAGGTACGACCTAGAGATTACCATTAAGATGTACCTAAGAAAATAGGTGTCTCATAATGATAAAAAATTAAGTGCTTTGTAGTCCATGAACCTTAGGATCCTAGTGGTGGGCCTTTGGCCGGGTCTGCAATTTAGGGTTTAGGGTTTAGGGTTAGGGGTTTAGGGTTTAGGGTTTAGGGCTTAGGGTTTGAACAAACACGAACCGTAGTCAACTGGACAACTCCGATTCTCCTGCATGCCCTAGAAGCGCCATTGCCCTTGCAACTTGTATAAACCCCGTAGGACGCAAACAAATCAACGCACTAACAGATTATCGTAGACTCCTGATTAGCAAACCCTGTCTGTCTAAAGGTGCTACTACTCGGACCGCTATCATAAGGTGTGGCAATGGGGTTTGTTCTAAGGGGTTTTATTCCATCAGCGGTCTTCACAATGAACCCTAACCTCTCCTAAAACTCCGAAACACTTTAATCATAGCTCATATATTATAGCGTATAAGATACCTCCCCACCCTATCCTACTTGTTAAAGCCCGAATCCTAACATGCCCTAAAAACCTTTTACAGTCCCTAAACGTCTAACAACAAGCTCATGACGAAGCCAAAAAGCAACTCTATTTGATGAGGCCCCTGTGCGGTATTGCTTCCCGGCATGCCTCCACTGCGTCGGACAGCACGTGACCCACGGCATTGCACCTTGTCGGCAGCTTTTAGCCATCTTGGCATCAGGTTGTAGGGCTAAGCGTTTTCAGGGTTTTGATGTGAGTTTCATGAAAGATTTTTCAGACTGCCCCCACTCATTTATGTGGGGACTTACTGCGTTGGTGGTAGTTTAAGGCCTACATGAAGCTTAATGACCAGCAACCCACTATGTAGGCAACTTGCACTTAGGGATGTGGGAGCTTAGAAAGTCGATATCGTGTCCTGGGTTTATGTGATGCGTCCCCTTCTCTCCGCAGATCCGTGATTCCAGATACAGCCTGTTTTGCCACTTAAAGCCATGCTTGCTCTGTAAAGCCTCTCAAATACAACGTCATAAGAAAAACTATAAAATCCTGTAGAAGCCTCCAACACCGATTTATGGAATCAGGGATTTGGGCTGTAGGGCTTTACAGCTTTGGGGCCCCAGCGAATATCTAAAACCCGAAAAGCTACACAAAGGCCACAACTCTAAGTCCTAAATCTACTCGAAAGCCCGGAACCTGGACCAAAGCCCAAACCCTTAACCTTACACTATGGGCCCGCCCTACATCCTCAAGAAGGTGCTGACGACCCAGCCGGGTTTCGTTCGGGGCGCGCAGCGGCCCGAAATAACTTGTTTGCAATACCCTACGAGCCTAATTACCAGCATAGTGGGTTACTCGGCATGAGGCTTATGGAACAAGGTCGAAGAAACAGGAACTCAATGTTGATGCTACGGCCTTACGGTTAAAACGTTTGGGGTTTAAGGTGCCAGGGTCCTGGTAAGTGTTAGGGGGTGGCTGTGTCGAATTTAGTGTCTTTGGGCAGGGTTTGGGCTTGTGGGGTTGCTGCGTTGGTTTTTGCCGCGAGGTTCTCTCACCTTTAACAAGCCCAGAAATCACAAACCTTTCGCTCTACGCCCTAAATTGCCTTAACACACCAAGAATCTATGAGCCCTGAACCCTGAATGCTGCCAGGGCACTCTACTGCCTCCACATCGAGTGGTGACACGTCAGCAGAGCGAACGGAGTTCGCCACGAGCTCCTTTGGAGTCTCCGAGCATTCCAAACAGCGCAGTTTATCCCTCAAGTATGGAATGTGCTTTACGTCTAACGAAGGATCCTTGAACCCTAAACCCTTCTCTCTGAGTTGAGGAATCGGCCCTAAATCCCTGTGATTACTGATTAATGAAGTTGCCTTAACTCATACCCGGGATCACTCCATATGCTCAGGAATACTATCCTACTCATGGGATACATGGTGCTTCCTGGCTACCTAGGCTTGTCCACCCACATACCTTTTTCCGTCCTCACTCCCCACCCAAAGCCTTAACGCCCTCAGACCCAGATCCGGTGACTCCGAAGCTGCAAAACCCTGGTTTAGGGTTTAGGTGTTTAGGGTTTGGGGGGGTTAAGGGGTTTTGGGGTTAAGGGGTTTAGGATTTTAGGGTTTATAGGGGTTTGGGGTTTAGGGGTTTGGGGTTAAGGTTTAGGGTGAACCCTGGAATTCTTCAGCATAGGGGCCGTAACACATCGGGCAGGGCGTAAGAGTCAGAACGGGCTTTGGGCTTAGGGTTTAGGGTTTAGGGTCTGTCACAGCAGAATTACAATAAGGAGCCATGTTACAGCAGAATTACAATAAGGAACCTTACGAGTATTCATGGTAATTATTCAGGCAGGCTTCTTCATGTTAAACCATAAGCCGCGATCACCGAAGCCCCAAACCCGATCAGCTGTACCTGATACATGGCGCCGCTCGGGGCGGACAGGGACGCGGAGCGGCCTGGAGAAGCGACAAGATTCTCGGAGTTTTGAGTTTTGTTTCGGGGGGTTTGCGTGGTTGAAGTCTTTGTGCATTTGCAGCTTTTAGATGGTTGTGGTTTGGGCTTTGGATTTGTCTTTGTGTTGAAGGCGTGGGGCTCAGATCATCTGGGGTCCCTCGCTTTGGTTTTGAGACTTGCAACCCTGCTTGGATCCGAGTTGCGGGCTCGCTGTTCTGGGTTGTAGTTTGGGGGCCCAATTCTTCAATAGGATAAGGGAAATTTTGAAGCTTCCCAAAGTGCCACCTAGAAGTTCGTCGTCCGTCGAAGAATCCCAAATGGCACCTTTCTGGTTTAGGGTCCTCATTGTTTCGCAACTTGAGTTGCTGGGACGCCAATTTGCTGGGTGCTTGCGTAAGGGCCCGGAAGTGGAGGTTGCCGGGGGACGCGCTGGTGTGTGGAGTATAGGATGAGTGCGGCAGCTGTGACGGCAAGTTTATTGTTCCCAGAGACTCCAAAGCCCCTTAATTAAGGAATATACCTTAAAATTATAATAGGAACCCTAGTAAGATTTAAGGTTTATTCCTTAATTAAGGGGTTTTGGAGTCTCTGGGTTTGGCTTGGGTGCTGAAGGATGCTAGGGCCGGAAGATGATGATCAGGATCGAGCACGAAAGTCTGAGCGAAGGGTTGGAACTTCGATTTGAAGCCTGAGTGGGAAACTGAAAAACAAAACGAGAGTCTTACAAAACCTTAGAGTTACCGAAGCCCTTACCCTAAACCCTAAACCCTAAGCAAGGTTTTAGATAAACGCTTCATCTCCACCACCACAGGGGTGCTGCCGCAGCGACCCTTTAGAACCTTGCACAGACTTGCAGACTCCATGGAATCCTGAACAGGCTCCTTGGCTGACTTCAGAACCCCTCCAAAAAGTTAAACTTTTAGTCTCCTTATTATAATTATATAGAAACCCAAAAAGTTAAAGTCCTAAGAGCCAACCAGGAGAACACCAAGGCTCTTACTTTCAGTATTAGCATGGGAGTTTCCAAAAATTAGGGGTACCTTATATTGGGGTCCTTATCACAATGGTCCTACTATTTAGGGTGCTATATTAGGGTCCCCTATTTTCGGAAACTCCCATATAATCGTAACGATTACTGTTACTGGTACTGGTACTGTTACGAGTTGCTGCCTGGGGAAATTCCAAGCCGAGGTGCCGTTGTTGTTGATGTAGCCACCGCTTGCCAGCCCGATGATTGGAGGATCCTGGATCAAGAGGAAAAAGGACTAGGGTTTAGGGTTTAGGGTTTTAAGTGCTTCTAAGGTGCCATCAGGTCTGTAACGGTTGTGATTTACAGGGCGCGTTTCAGGATCTGGTGTTGGGGGTCTAGGTTTTAGCGGCTGGGGCTTAAGGGCGAGGCTAAACAAGGAAAGCCGAATGTTGCTTACTTCTACGAGCATGCTTCCTTGAGCCATCACTATCACCACCATCACCAACAGCATGATTCAGATCGTTAAACCCTAAACCCTAAACCCCTAAACCCTAAACCCCAAACATCATCGGCTTTTCCGTATTCATAACTTCAAAATACTCAGTGCGACTATTGCACCCGAGATCCCCAGAACCCCAAGTGCGGTCGGCAGGGGAATAAGTGGCCACAAAGCTTCTCTAAGTCCCGAGAACTGGTATTACAGAACTAAATAGAATGCCGCCCCCCCCCCCCCTGCCCCGCTCCGTTCCTGAGGCATTTCAAAGTGATTACAAAGAGCTCCGGGGTTGGTTCGGTTCATCCGGGCTATCATTCCCTATGCTATCTTGGAACAAGGCTTTGGAGATCCAGTCAGCAGCATACTCTTCTGCTTCTTAGTGGTCTTCGAGAGACAGAAGATGACTTACTGGCTTGTAGTTTTGGGGCCCTGAAACCTATTTTTGAATAGGTACCTCTATAGGAGCCATAAGGGAACTGTTATAGCTTCCCCAAGTGTCACCTAGCTTGTTGTAGATGCAACTCCAACCATGGCCGGAGATCCCCCGACCTGCCCCGCCCCTCACTGCACGGTTTAGGGTTTAGGGTTTAGGGCTTAGGGCTTAGGGTTTAATTAGGGTTTAGAGTTTAGGGTTTGGGGTTTAGGGTTTTGCTCCTCATCGATGACCCTCTTGCCATCCACCTCCTGGCAGTATAATCAGAATCGAACAAATCAGTATCCCATACAGGTGCAAACCTGCGTGCGTGTATAAATAAAAGCATGAGTAAACAAACACATGAATAACAAAATAAACAAAAATTGTATACATATATGCAGTATATGTATATATATATATACACATACATACGTATGTATACATATATACACACATAAATACATATATCGAAGGGGTCGTACGGACTGGACACATCCGCCGAAGACAATCCCAGAACCCAGCGCCTACAAGTGAACCTTGGGAGGGCGTGAGTTTTGAGTTTTCTCCAGGCGATCTGGGGCCAAAGTCTACCCAGAGAACCCAATAAGGAATATACCTTAAATCATAGGGGCCTTAATATTACGATTTAAGGTCTATTCCTTAATTAAGGGATATTGGGTCCTCTGGGCAGAGTTCCCTATCCCTAGACGTTCAATCAGAGCCAAGTAAAACCTCAACGCATTTTGAGGACTTCTGATTTCGTCTTACAGGGCGCTCTTAAGCTGTTGTGTTAGTGTCTTGCCCTAAACCCTACAAACCCTAAACCGATTGTAAGGCTCTTTTGGGGGTGTGGCTGCGGCGGAGAGTTGAACTTAGGATGTTGGGCTTGGGCTGAGGGTACATGTTAGGGTTTAGGGTTTAGGGTTTAGGGTTTAGGGAGGTGCAGGGGGTTGAACCCGCTAGAACTGGCCGATTGACATGTTGGGGTTCAGGATTTATGAGCCACTGTCAACTTATATGGTCAAGTGTTGAAGTGGCAGCATTAAAGTATTACATACAACAACACCTGAACCCTCTGGATCTCAAGTAAGTAGGAATTGAGTTCTTCCGGCTCCTGAAACCCTTGTGCGGCCCTCAGGAATGTCGGCGGTTCCACACTGCCAAGCCCACTGGATAGGCGCAAAAAGAGCGCATTTAGGCAATCCGCGGGGAGCATGACCTGCGTGAACTCCTTCGCGCGATTCTTGTCAGCACGGCGGAGTTGACGTGCGCTTCTCGGATTCGGGCATCTAGGAAAGCCGAGAAACGAGCTGGAGCATCATGCCGGCCAGACTGAAGACCGAGCGTGGCCCAGGTGGGCAGCTTGAAGTGGTTGTCGTTCGCGACTTCTCGTCGCTCCATATGTCCAGCCACTCGGCGGTCTCGGCCGTCTCTTCGTCGCTTTCCGCGTCGGGGGCATCTCTGCTGCGCCCTCCATCGGCCAGAGCACGTCCAGAGTATCTGCTCTCAGTCTCACGGCTTCTGCACCCTCAACCTTTGCCCTCAAACCCAAAGCCTCAAACATTAACATCCCTGAACCCCAAGCCTAAAACCCTAAACAGCCGTATTTAGTATTGCATGCAAACCTAAAAGCCTTAATATCCGGGTCCCGGTTAATTATGGAAACTAGGAATCATTCAGGCCAGTACACTGCGCTGCATTCAAGACAAGAGGAGACCCGAAACCAGAAAGACCTGCCTAAGCCGATGGTTTTCAATTCTACCCACAGCAATATGGGTGGTTCTCTAAACTAGGGTCCGTCTTTAGGTCCCCAATATTTATAAAAAGAACTCCAAAAGGGACCCTAGTTTCGAAAACTA